ATTGTTAAGGATTATGAGGAGATGTAAATCTCCCTATCACTAAATCAATTGAAATGAACAAAAAAATATAGGAGAAGTACCTAACCCAATTTTATAAAAATAAACTTTTAGACTAATAAAATAATCTTAGAAAAAGAAATAAGTTTGTTAACACATACAAAGCACAATTTGATAAGTATGGATGAAATGTATTATAAAAGAGTATGATGCCATCACTTTACGTATGTTTTCTAGGGGCTTCAATGATGATCTTAGGAGAGAAGTTATGCTTTCAGATGTTTCTACTATTAACAAAGCTTATACCTTAGTGAAAGATTATGAGTTACTTATAAAAAGCTAATGGGTGAAACCCTAAGACCTCTATAAAATCCATGTTAGGCCTTAATTAGAGAACAATAGTTTCATATTAGATGCTTCACCCCCACAAACCCAACATTAGTAATCTCAACCATGTAATGAAGAACAAGATAAAGTACTCAATGAGGTTTCTAAAATGAGCTCAAGTATTCAACCAATTATACTAATAAAGCCCTAGTCATCAAAGAATAAAAATGTATAAGTGAAGAGAAAGACTATGGTGATGAAGTGTATGAACCTAATCTCGAGAAATTTTAAGATCTAGATGAAATGATATAAAAGAAGGATTTAACATAATAAGTCCAAATGAGTTTGAGAATGCGGCTTAGAAAAAATATGTTATGTCTATTTTAGTTGTAGAAAAAGTTTCAAGAAACTCCCTAATAAAACCATTTAAAGAGGTGAGTATAGTGTTATAGGGGTTTAAATATGCATGTCCTTTTAAAATTCTTAATTTCTTACCTCTTATACTTGACATCTAGCAATTTAAGGACTTTAAATGATATGTTAAATTCTCTAATTCTATACCACTTATTCATGATGAGGAAGTTGAGGATGATCCCAAGTTAACAAGTTATGTCCAATTTATATCTACTTAGGATTTAAATAGTTTTTATTTAATTTTACACCCTTAGTTGTATAGTATTCATGGTTACAAACCTAGGACATCTACAAGTTTTTTTCTCGTGTCTCCTCACACCAAGATATCTAATTTAGATGGGTCTTTTATATATAGAGTTCATGATTTGTATATTGAGATCATAAAAGAAATTTAAGCAGGTAATGAATAATATAAATTTCAAGTTGACTTATATATATATATCATGTGGCATTTAATATTAGTGATTATTTCTTCAGACAAATTATACATGAGTGATATCCTTGTTAAACCAATCAAAAATTAAAGGAGAGAAATTCTAGACCCTTCAAAGTATTATAAATAGTTGAATAAAATATTTATATTATTAACCTACAACTAAAATTTGGTATTAGCTATACTTTTAATATAAAAAAGTTGGTCATATCTAAATAACATCAACCTATACCTGATGATCTTCTTGAAATTTTTACCCTTTACCTTTATCATTAGTACAAAAGGAATACATTGATGTTATTTTGGATGCACAAATTATTTTTAATAAAGAAGATGAGGTTTAATGAATCCTATTTTGTGGACAGGATGACCTACTTCAGACTAAACTTGGATCATTAGAGATTGGAAATATATTGCAGAACTTTAATCCTATTTTTTGAAAGTTTTATTGGAGTTGATTAGAGCTATATTTGATAGAATAAAGTTCTTATAACTCTATAAGAATTGGTTGGGATATCAAACTCGAGATATAGTCCACACTTTGTTTGATCATATACGATTGATGATAGCCTAACTCTCCACTCATTGGATGAGAGATTGGGCACAATCAAGTCTATGTTATTAAATTTTATTTGGATCATTCTATTGAGTTTAATTTATGTTGTTTGTTAGACATTTCATTTAGTAGATTACAGGCTTAATTATTGGTACTCTTTTTACAATATGGAAAGGATGTCGGCATACCCAAAAAATAGGTAAAAATAAGGAGGTTAAAAATACAAAGATTAAAATTTGGCAGTATTTTATTAATTGATGACAGCCCTGTTGATAAAGAAAATTCAATTTGAGCAAGAAAAGTCCAAAATCAAATGTTTATGGACTCAATTAAATTTTATTAAAGGTTTAATTGAATTTATGGAGAGTTTGATTGCAAGAAAAATTGATTTTGGAGTCAATTTAGGCTTTAATTGAAAGAAATTAAAGTTCTAGAGTCAAATTATAATTTTTAAAAGTCAATTTGGTCAAATCAGGGGCTTAATTGCATTAATATTAAAGTTTGATGGCAAATGAGGGACTTAATTAAAGAAATCCAAAACTAATGACCAAAATGGAAAAGACGCGTAAATGGAAGGGCTGGAATTAAAACCGATCAGAGGCCCAATTGAAAAAATTAGAAGTTTATTGCTCAATTGAAGGTCAAATTGTATAATAACAAGACCAAGAACTAAAGTGAAAAAGGCAGCCAACTTTAGGGTCGCTGTTGGTTTTTGGCAGAGATGCAATTACATTGATTTTTAAATCAAAATTGCAATTTAGGACTTGATTGGAAAAATTATAAATTGAGGACTAATATGATAAATGGACATGTTTTTGCTGCCTTTGTATTTAAATGAAACGGCGTTGTTTCATGCACTATTTAAAAAAAAAAACTTAAAACGATGCCGTTTTGAACAACACCATCATCCTCTTCCCCTGGACATGTAGAGAACAGGGGAACGTTGTTTCATGCACTATTTTTCAAAAAAAAACTTAAAACGGTGCCTTTTGAACAGCACCATCATCCTCTTCCCCTGGACACGTAGAGAACAGGGGAAGAAAATGTGTTTTTCTCCTCTGTTTTCACCAACTTTTCCACCATCATTTCTCCTTAAAAAAAACATTGACACAACCCACTTTCCACGTATTGGACGGACGGTGGAGGGGTGGCAGCACAGTGGCCGCCCCAGCTACGTCCCTCCTTGTTTTTCACTTATAAAAACAAGGGAGGAGATCGACAACCAGGAATAAAGAAGAAGAAAAAAACAGTGGGAGAGAGAGTGAAAACAAACCGAGATCGACAACCAGAAATAAAGAAGAAGAAAAAAATAGTGGGAGAGAGAGTGAAAACAAACCGAGAGATAGAGAGGGTTGAGAGATAAGAAAGAAAAAGAGAAAAAGAAGCAGAAAAGAGAAAAAAACATAGCAAACCATCGGCCACCGAGAGAGGGTTGAGAGATAAGAGAGAAAAAGAGAAAAAGAAGCAAAAAAGAGAAAAAAAACATAGGAGAGATAGAAGAAGAAAAAAACATAGCAAACCATCGGCCACCGTCTCCACTACCACAAGCCACCGCCAAAGACAACAATCACGCCTCCTCTCGTCAGGTAAGCTTCCTTCCGAGATAACAATCGCGCCTCCTCTCGTCAGGTAAGCTTCCTTCCTTTTGTGCTCTATCTTCTCTTTTCCTTTCATGGGCATGCAGAACGTAATTCAAGTTCTACAGCCAATGAACAACACAGTAACCAACTAATTATCATTTTAATGGGCAAGCCTTAGCCCATTTTGCATGTCGGGCTGGTTCTGGCCCATTTTATTTTGGGCCGGAGACAACCCGTTCCATTTTGTTTTGGGTCGGAGTCAGTCAATTCCATTTCATGTCGGGCCGAAGTAGGCCCATGTCATGTCAGGCTAGTGTCGGCCCATTTTTATGTCAGGCCTGTGCTGACCCATTTTATTGTATGTTGGGCCATGCTGACCCATTCAAAATTAATATACCATAGAAATACAAACCTAGTATAAAAATATCTGGTTTTCTTCAAAACTTTCAAAAAATACAAAAACAATTGAAAAAAAAATATTTTTGTGCATACGACCAAGTGTCTTAAAGGTAAAAAAAATCATATTGTATTTTTCATACACCAAAAACAATATTTTAGCATGTATTGTGGCTTTAAAAATTATTTTATTAAAGTCAAGAGAACATTGATCAAAATTTCAAAAAAAAAATTATTTTATTTGTCGCTTTGTATATGTGGTATGACATTATGTAATGCATATTCCGGATATTTAATTTATTTTTTTAGATAATAGAATGGTTATATTTAACCACATTTTAAGATAAAAACCTCCTTATTGAGGAGAGCTTGTCTTGAACTTTAAATAAACCAACAATTAAAAACCACAAAACAAGACTTTAGATTTGAACATAAAAAATAATATAGCCTACCTTAGGTATGGCGTATTTGGCATACTAATATCTTTCCTTCACGCAACCAGTTTTCATACCCGATCTTTGAGACCAGTTAGGGTTTCTAATGACCAGAATACTAGGTAGCGACTCCCATTCAAATTTTTCAATAATAAGAGACACAAAAATTCCTTATTTCTTTATTTTTTGCTGGAAATACACTACATACATCCTAGTTTCTCTGGATGGTGGACAATTACCGCTACGCCGTACACATGCAACACTCTTCTTCTTTGCAGCTCCTTCTTCCTCTTCTTTCTTTCTTTTCTCCTTTTATTTCTTCAAATCTCTCTTGTCCCACTTCACCTTATTTTATTGATGTGCCGGTAATACATGTATATTGGAATATTTTCCATTAGCTTCAGTAAAACTAGTGCGGAAGTGTTGGGAATGGTCGGTTTCACTTCTTTGAGGACATTATACAGGTCCGGAGATGGCTTAGGTCAGCAGAACTTTTATACCTTTATGATCATCTACAAATTTTGTTCTTGAGTGCAAATTTTGTTTGTTTTGCGGGGTTTTGGAGATTTTAGATACCATGGTCAATTTCTTTCACTGACCTAGGTCTTTTCCTTTTTCTGGAGAAAATTGTTTTATTTCATTGTCTCCTCAATTACTAATACTATTATATAACGTGTCATGCTCCTCGTGATAAGAAAATAGCCCAAAATCTTCAATGTGTAGCAGTATTACCAAGTTTGATAGCATACGGAGAAGACAGAATAATACAGAAGATTGTATATGATGGAAGGTAACGGAGGGAAATATTCTAGCCAAAAATAGAAAATTGTTTTCCGGTTTCAAGTTTTTGCAATAGAAACATGGTGATTTAAAGTTGAATAACAACTATTCTTGATGATTAAGACATATCGAACACATCATGCAAGTGTGTGCCCTACAAGTACAAGCAATTCATAGAATGGCCCAAAATGCCAACATTCTAGCATGAGCTGATTTAAAATGTCTAGTTCTCCAGTGTCCGTAGAACAGGATAGAAAGACATACAGATACAAAAACAAAGCAAAGCAAAACCACTGGCGCTGTCTTCTTCTCTAAAGCTTTAGTGCCCAGTTATGGGCACTTCGAGGCCCACTTGAAATGCCCTCATAGTATCGGGATTCAAGCTTCTGAGCATTCCAGTCCTTGACAAAGACCGAAAACAATTCTCGTGCAGATTCCGATGTAAGGTCAGAGAAAAACACTTTCTTCTTCTCTTTGAGCCATGTAGCGAACTCATTATTCTTGGAGAAGTAATCGTCATTGGACAGTTGAAACTCAGGTTTCTGGAGGAACAAAAATTTACAGCAGAAATCAGTGAAATGATCTTTAAACTCTACAAATAAATCTATAAATGCTCACCAAGTTCAAACATATGACACCTGAAATTTCCAAGGTAATTTGTTAACTTTCAACATTTCAAATTTTGACCTGTGTACCTATGATACACTTAGACAGGATGTGCATGACCTAAGATTTTCCTAGTTTTGACTGCTCTAATCAACAATTTTCAATCTAAGTGAACTCTGCCGAGCAGGATACTTTATGCATGGTCTGCATCAAAGATGGCTAAATTAAATGCAACACTTGTTCCAGCCATTTACAGGATTTAGAAATTATTTCCACTTCTGGAATAGGATGCTTCATTGTTTGTCCTATTAAAGTGCACCACCATTAACAACATCCAAGTAAAAGATTGAACAAATTTTACACATATCGAGGCCACAGAATGTCCTAAATTCAAAAGAATTAAAACATTTGCAATTGACATAGGAAACTGCAGTTAGCTCTTCAATAGGTAGAGCTTTGTGCCTTCCATGCATTACAAGAAACAAAGGGCATTTAGAACTATTTCTACTTTGCTCTGTAGAGCCCAATAAATGATGTGTATATTGAGCATTATGTTCCAGTTTGCTGAGTAGACAGGAAGTTATTCACCAGTCCAAGGATCATGGCTGACCAAGAGGTGGATACAATTTGCAAAATCAAGTCTCTAGAACAGTAATTCTAAACTTTCTCAATGTTACTGAAAGTATCACTGGAACTTGGCTTAATACACTGATTAAATTAAGGGACATTACCAACGAGTATTCTTTGCAATATTACAGACATTACACACAGGTGGATTGTTTTCCTGTCACATAGGATTGCATCACCAAAAAGTTTATATAGCATTATTACGACCACCCACACATCTGCTGAGAGGATGAACTAGAATCCCCATTTAGATTTGTCTGCACCTCAGCTTATGTTATGAATTCTAGGTGCCTTTCATTCAAAAACTCGTTGCAAGGCCTTAGGATACTTGTTTCACATTCTATCCAAGCACCTATTCCTGAGAATATCCTACCATAATAAGAACTGAAAATATCCAAAATCACAATCTACAGCTTGACAAATAAAACACACCCTTCCTTTCAGGTTTAGGTGCATGAGCTGGTAAGGCATAACACCAGTAGCAGCAAAATCAAAACCCTAATTTACTTTCACAAATCACTACATAAGAAAATATCAAAGCTTGCTTCAAGATTACCACAGGCTTAACAAACTTACCAAGTGGCGATCCCCTTTGTGTCGTTTGGTTTTGTGTTTATCCTTGGACTTCTTCTCTGAGGCAATGAATATTAGCAAGGTCAGAACACAACAACATGAAAATTATGTCATGCTTCATAAACATAAAAAACAAAAAGAAACTACAATAGTATAGAGTATACCTTTATCAGAGTGGTGCCTATGAGACTTCTTGTCCCTTCTCTTCTCTTTCTTATCACTCTTTCTACTTCTCCTTCCGTCTCCTTCTTCCTTGTCACTTCTCTGCCTTTTCCTTCTTCCTCCTTCATCTACACAATTTCAATCAAAGCCAAATTCAAAAACAACATAGCAATCCCATCTTTCGTTTGAAACCTTAAATAACCTGAAAAACCAAACTTTTTTTTTTCTCCTAATTAGACCACTAACATAATTGAGATGATTTTCCATTTTACCTAGTACCCAGAGAAAAAAGGCAACCATAACAATACCAAGCTCTGTTTGGTTGCTGAGAAAATGCAGGAAAACAAACAAATTTCGTGTTTGAGGTCTCATAGAACATAAAATTACAAACTTGTTTGTTCTCAACAAAACTACACAGAAGAATTGAGGTGGGTTTTTCAATTTATTCAAAATTCATCAAAGAAAACATATTATATCAATTCAAGATCATGCTTTCAATTTTCTTTTTTACTTTCACTTTCTCGAGAAAAATACAGAAAATATATATATATATATATATATAAGAGAGAACCTTCATTCGAAGACAGAGAGGAGCTTCTCTTCCTGCTCTTCTTCTTCTCCTTCCTTTCGTCTCCCATTTTCGGCGAAATATGTTTTATTTTTATAAGAGAGAAAAGTATATATATCAGGACTTCAGGAGAGGAGTATGCAACTGAAATTAGAAAGAATTAATTATAAATTAGCCACTCTAGTTTTTCTAGTTTAAAAAATAATTAATTAATATTGATCATATTTAATTCAATTTAATAAATTTTTTTAAAAAAATTTATTATTTTTTTCTTATCATTTTTTATTTCTTAAAAACTATGAAATAAGAAAAAAATTTAAAAAATTTATTATTTTTTTCTTATCATTTTTTATTTCTTAAAAACTATGAAATAAGAAAAATGACCAAGTTATAAATAGATTTTAACCTATAAAAAAACTATTTAATTATTCTTAAAACCAAAGAAAAAATATTTAATTTAAATACTACATTTATAATTTACAAAAAAACAAATTTATAATCCTATTTAAAAAGACAACTAAAGTTAAAAGTGAAGCTCATTGTGGACCGAAATGAATAAGAGCCGAAATCCATATGTTGGACTTAAATTTTGAAAAAAAACTCAGAACTTCTTATCTAAGCTCAAAAAATTTCGAAGCCCAAAAGTTGCAGAGAAGAATTTGACTCTTTTTATCAATCTAGTAATGTACTTTAAACAATTAAACTAAATTTTATATCGTTTATAACTATACTTTATAGTATGCCATTCGTGTTGGCCCGCGCTCCATCATGCGTGGGATAAAAAAAAAAATTAAAGCAAAAAATTTTCAACCCGTTTCTTGACATTAAAAAATAAAAATTAAAGCAAAAAATTGAATAGGAAGACATTTTCAACCCGTTTCTTGACATTAAAAAAATTAATTATATATTAAAAAATTGATGGATGGATATAATTAAATAAATTTAGAATTATATATATATATATATAAATTTAAAAAATAAGTTGTTAAAAATAACCAAATACTAAATTTAAAAATTAAAAATTAAATATAAATAAATATATTTTACCTCGCAACATAGATCATAAATCTAGTTGTGTTTAATAACTTTTTTTTAATTAAATTTTTATTTAATCAAATAATAATAAAAATGAATATACATAAAAAAGTAATTAAATAAAATTAAATGAAAAAAGTTTTGTATAGGATTGCAAAAAAAACATCTGTTGATATTAATACTACTTTATTTAGCTTTAATATCATTTAAAAAAAAAAATTAGGAGTGAAAGATATGAAGGGAAGCATGATGAAAGATAACCTTTTTTCATATTATATTATTCTTCTAAAAGAGAGTTTCATAAACTTGAACTTATATTACAATACACTTAACATAAAATTATATGGATAATTCAAGAAACTCAAATGATAACTCCATTGATATTTTATATACATGTACCTAGAATAACTAAAAAGACATTTTAAAATTAATTTTAATAGTTTCAAGAGATGAAAAGAAGTGACTTAGAGCCTCATTTGATGATCTACAATATTCTTATTAATGGAACGTGCAAAGATTATACAAATAAACTATTTTTTTAATTGCCTGATGAAGGATTTCAACATGATATTTATACATACAATCCATTAATTAGTGGCCTTTGCGAACAAGGACTAGTAATTCAAGCACATGCATTTTAGAAAAATGAAACATCATGGTTGCATACCAAGTTATTGCTATTATCATCTCTTGATACAAGGATTTCTCCATCAAAGTGATGCATCAATAGTTAGGTAGCTTGTTCACGGAATGAACAATCAAAGATCTTCTGCCCTTGCCACCACCAAACACTTTATAAACCTACTTATTAATGCTAAGATTTTTTATTTTAAAAATCAACTTGGGATTTGTGAAGTTCATCAAGGTGTGAAGTAGAAGTAAAATCTTAATATTATATATCATTTTGATTAATAAAAAAAATTAAAATTTGATTATATTTACTTTGTAATTTTTTATAGGTTTGATATAACACTGACTATAAGTCATTTATAATTTTGAATCATCATGTCTTAATGAAATGCCTATATAAAATTATTTTGGTAATTAGTATCAGATAATAGCTAAAACTAAATGAGAAAGATCTATGTAGAGAGAAAATGCATTTTATTATAGTTTTCATGGACTTCATTTTCATCTCAAAGGTGATCATAAAACCCTCTTCATAAGTCATTTATCATTTATCACTTTTCAAACTTCAATTTCTTGATCACCTTATGCCCTTGTATATGTTCCTCTAGTCTTCTTCCATTAAAAAAAATAGTATTAAAAATGTCTTACCAAATATCAACTCAACTAAAAGAATCACTCTCATAAACTTATTTATCTTTTATCCATTCTCTTAAATGATGAAAAACAACTTATAACAAGTAGTCTATAAAAAAGAGTGTTTCCTACATAGAAGCCCAAGTACAAAGTAGTATAATATATTTTTCTAAATAGTTATAACTAGAATTATCAAACCAGTTTCTTACATGAAATTACTTAAGCTATATTACAAGTAAACTTTTTTTTTTAATAATAGTAGGGTTGTAATTGGTGTATTGGTGTTCAAAAGCAATTTAACACATTCATTATGAGTTATTTTCATAATGGTTGGGTGTCTAATAATACATAAGGGTGTAGCAATGAGAAACATTAAGAGAATATTTGAACATTAATCCAATTGGCATCAGAACTCAAGCTATCTTACAAGTAAACTCTTCTTTTTCTTTTTTTCTTTTTTATCATAGTAGGGTTTTAACTAGTATATGGGTATCACTCAAAAACAATTTAACACATCAATTGTGAGTTATTTTCTTAATGGTTGGGAATCTAATTATACACAAGAGTGTAGCAATGAGAAATATTAAGAGAATATTTGGATATTAATCCAATTGGCATCAAAACACTCCATTCATTTGGAAATTTTGTACTAAGGTTTCCATATTCCCATTTACTTCCCCGAGATTTTCTTTATCCATCCAAGAAATGAATATATGACATAAAATGGAATCTTATTTGTCATGGAATTCTATTA